AGCGCAACTCAACACAGTGTTACCTAGGCCTCAGATAACCTGTTCAGTAGCAACTTTTCTGAGAGGTGTTTCGTGTGGAAATATCCTCTTCGACTTCTTTCCCTTATTGAAACAGGCTTCCCCATCTTATTTCATTATGCCGAAAACAAAATGTATCTCTACTACTTTCTATTAGATAACAAAGGACGGCACTTAGTTTGCACTACTAAAATCTCCCACTACACCGATGCTGCACCAATAAAAATCAATAGTTTAGTAATCGGATTTCAGTTTCATTTATTGTCCAAAAAAATTGTTTAAAATGATCAAAAATCAACTACAGATAAAATACAGATTTGGCAAATGCACGAAAATGTTTCCAACTGCTAGATGGTCCGAAGATTTAATTTGAATAATAATTTGAAACTTAGCTTTAATTCGTTTGACGCAATATTTGATTTTAATAGAGGCAAATTTCTTAGGCAATTTTGGTTAATGATTGTCTGTAGATTTAATCTCATTAGAATATAGAAAGTAGAGTTTTAATTTGGTTTTTGAAAGATTTGTTTTAATCGGGTTAATTGGTTTTTGAGAAATTAATTTAGAAAATTTAGTTTTAATCGGGTGGTCGATGAAGATTTAATTTCAACAAAAATTACAAAATGTGTTTAGCAAATTTTGTTTTCATTAGATTGTCGAACGATTTAGTTTGAACACGAAATAAAAAGTTGGATTGTCGGAATAATTAATTTCAATTGAAAACTGAAAATTTAGACAATTGTGTTTTAATTATACTTTTCAAGAAGATTTAACTTCAATGAGGAAATATATAATTTTATTTAGATTGTCGAATGATTTAATTTGAATAAAAAAAATAGGAAATTATTAGTAAATTATATATGAATTATATTTAGTAAATTTTGTGTTAGCATCAAAGCATCCTTTGTTTTCTTATGGAAAAGTTGTGAATTTCAATGAGTGAAAAATGATGGAAATTCCCCAAGAAACTCCACTAAGAGCAGTTGTTAATAAAGGAATTATTAAGTACATTTCAAGTTCAAGCGCGAGGAGGAGGCGGAGGATGGAAACTAGAAAATTACGGAAACAATTATTTATGGCTTTTCTGGCGTTATTTTCACAGAGTATGTATATTGAAAAAAAAATAGTGAATACACTAGTGATTTTAATCAAATTTATCTTTTTTTAATAAATAAACCAACTAAGAATGCAACTGTTTTATATCTAAAACTGTCGATGTAATTTGCTTCGATTCAAAGATAAAATTATTATTTTTTGCTTTAGTATTACCATAAAAAAATTAAAATATTTAACCATAAGTAGTTTTCTTATCAAACATCCGGAATACTCATACTAACTGCCCTCAGGACATCAATCGACTCAGTTTAGTTAAGTTGTAAAATTGGCGCAGTCGATGGAATTTATCCAATCCAAGTTCTATGGAGTCCTTTATCGGGTTTTTGCATGCTGTTAGCCGATATACTTTTTACTTGTGTTACTTTGTGTTATACAAGATAGGCCTGGGTAACACTGTGTTGAGTTGCGCTATTGAGTTGTTGCCGCTCTCTGAGGTAACGAGATAGAATTCATCCGTTAACGAGTTACAAGTCCTTTATAAAAGCTTTACGAGACCCGATCCTGGAAATTGCACATCAAAAAAAAGATAATCAACATTTCTTCTGAATAACCTTTTACTACTTTGTTTAAACAACTGAAAAAAGTCTTATAGATTTTCCCAACAGAACTGAGTCCAAAGAAACTCGACGAGTTTTCTTGGAAAATCGATCTCCTAATTTTTTTGCATAAAAGATTCAGTTTGCCAGTAGTTTACAGGAAAACGTTAGGAAAAATGCGGTTTTTCTGTTTAGAGACAGTGTTGTTTAGAAATATTGACCTAAAAGTGAAAAAACTCCAGTTTCCAAGGGTTGTCCAAATAAATGATAATAAACTTTCGCTTTTTCACTTCGGGGAAATATTTTTGGAAAAAGACCTAGAAATAATAATTAGGATTTTTAGCAGCAGCAAAAAGTTTTGCAAACATTTTTGCAAAGCGGTTAAGAAGGCGAGTGTTCCAATAAGGTTTATCTTATAATTTTTCACAGAAAATACCTGAAGATTGCCAATATTTTAAGTAACACTAAAAAATAATGCGGTTTTTGCGTTGAAAGAATTGCTTAATAGAAGATTTGCTAAAACTAGAATGAGAATTTAAAGAAAGTAAATGTTGGTGAAATAAAGTGGACACACTCTTAATGTATGAATAAAGGTATATTGATAAATGATAAAGAACAACACAGTACAAAAGTAGATTTCCGAACACGAAAACAATTCTGTATCAGCAGCGATTTGACGACGACTAACTAAAAAGGTTGCTCTCGCGATAAACAAAAAATTATGCTTGCCTAAGCAATATGGCTTTGTGGTACACTGTGGTCCATAATATATGGCTGAACTTATATTGATAATATTAAAAGCATTTTGATTATAGTGTTATTCCAACAGTAAATATTTTCATAGCGATGTGGGCGTCGAATTTTCCAAATTATTTTTTGTAAACTTTTTACTGTAAACTGTAATCTTAATTACTCTCGGTAAAAAAACTGAATAAAATTATTTGGTTTTTGTGTCAAATTCGAAGCTGAAAAGGGTTTTCTAAAGATCCCTGCATACCGATCAATGAGGCGAAATTTCTAGCAAGATTAATTTTCTCATTTTTGGCTGAAAAGACCCCATTATTGCCAGAAAAGAAGGAAATGATCAGAAAATAATGGTTTTTTAGGTTTTTGATTAAAAACTTTTAGTTTTCTGATCGGTTTTGGAGAAAACCTTCATGGTGTTCGGGAAAAAACGTGAGGAATTTATTTTCGTTTTTGTCTCGAATTCGACGCCGAAAAAAGTTTTTGCAAATTTTTTACAAAGCTATAAATTTATCCTGTAATTTTTTGCGTAAAATATCTCCAGATCGTAAGTATTTTTAAGTGAAACTCTTTAAAATAGAGCGTTTTTGAGTAGAAAGTAAAGCAACAAAAATGCAGTCAAACCTAAAAAAAACACATTTTTTTAACAAACTCTACAGTCTTCAAAGGAATTGCGGTGACGAGATTTCGAAATAATCTGTTATAAACTTTCGCTTATTCTGTTCGTTTTTTAATAGAAAATTATTTGATTTTTGTTTCAAATTCGACGCTGGAAAGGTATTTCAAAACTTTTTACAAAGCGACCAAAGATTCGAAAATTTTTCCATAATTTTTCACAGAAAAAACGCTAAATTTGACAGAATTTTTAAGTAAAAATGAAAATTGAGCATTTAGAAGAAAAGAAGGAAGCGGTTGCACACTGAAGAAAGTCCAATCAAAGGGGATGCTAACTTGTATTATAGTGTGTATGATCGCACACTATAGAAAGAGTAACTTGGCTAAATCTGGAAAATTCTGAAATTTGAATTCTAAAAACAAGTAAAATAAGTCATCAAAATTTCCCAGCGCCGGAACTCAGTTCCTGCGCCGGTGCGTTAGGTTGGCGCACCAAGCCATTTGCGTGGCACTGCGCCAACTCCTAAAAATTCACTGAGTTACCCACGCCTACTATGTCTACTTATGAAGGTAGTAGACAGCAACAAAAAAACATTTTTTTAGTAGAATTATTTAATTTATTATGAATCTATTTAAGAAAAAGTCAAACACCCACTTTAGATGATGATAGTTCAGTGTAAAGCAGTGTCCACCTACCTGTCTTTATCCATGAGTGTAAGTGAGTGTCTCTGAAGATGCAAGTCATTCGTGGTTGCGAAACGTCAGGAAAAAGTCGAAAAACTCACCAGTTTTATTGCCCCATATTTAACGCAAAACTTAATATTAAATACCCATAGTTTGCCTACTTGTTACTTAACTATCGAAACTGTGCCTGCATAGTAACCAGTCAAATTGGCATTTGTTACAAATTGCTACAACACCACTAAAATGTTCTTCAATTCGAGTGGCATTTGAAATGTTATTCAGGGAATAATAAAGGCAATTAATTAATAAACGCCCCGTAGAATGTAAATTAGATATGCTACCAGCGAAGGCGTGTTCTTTCGTAAACTTGACCACTCTCTGTGGGAAAAACTAGATGTTTGGTGCTCTGCATTTACTTAATTCTAGCGCGTGTTTCAGTTTATTTTATGTAGAAATAGAACACTGTCTGGCTATATTTGCGAAATAAATTGATTTTTTTTTGAGAAATTGAAGCTCTTTTTGGCATCTCATGGTAGGAAGCGCTACTGATATGATTTAGCAAATCAAGGAAAATTACGTAAAAAAACCATTTCTCAGACTAATACGAATGTATGCAGGGAACAACGCGTATTTACAGTTGTTTATCAATTAAAAACCGAGATAACGGTATTTGTTTGTTCGTTTAATTATTATTAAATGCGGTGTTTGGTGTTTTGGATGTCGTCGGAGAATAACAACTCCTAGAGATAAGAACGTGAAAACATTTTTTTCTCATCCCACCAGGCTTAATATCGGCATCAGGTGATTAGGCAATGAATAATATTTTTAAACGGTTAAAATAGTTTAGATTAATTTCGTCAATAATATGCATTTCGGTGTTCAACAACACAACGCGTATCTTAAAATTTTTATTTTGTATTGTCGAGGTTCTCATATTTTTGTAGTCTTTTTTGTCTGTTAATTAACTGATTTAGTCCTAATTAAACATTTTTATTTTGCATTTAGTCACTCAATTTGTTCACTTCCAATTTGTCTTTGTAATATCTGCAAGGCAACCCTATTTTGTTTGTTGCTTCTATTGCCTTCATGTATGTTCGATTACTCTGTCATCTCTAATTTGTATCAAGGGTTTCGTTTTCCTATACCTATTCGCGTTCAAAGTTTTAAAAAATATGCTTGCTTTACGTTCTCTATTCTAAAACATTTAGTCGGTTTTAGTTCTGTGCCATAAATAATCCCCAATAATTTGGAGACATTTTTTGTAGTAATATTTCTATTTTTTTGCAGATTTCCCTTAAATCTAGCGGACAATTGCTGCGTGTTGGTTAGTTTCACATTTATTAGATTAATTTTCGGTTTTTCTTGTTTGAACACCTTGTTTGAAACATAAATATGTTGAAAATTTAAACTTTTTCTTATATAATATTTATAGTTTCATTACATAATTACAGTTTTTTTATATTTTTGTTGTTTTTTTTATTGCTACAGAGTATACCTACCATCACCTCTACCAGAGATCTACAAAGGAGTCAATCGCGCTGCGAAGAACCATCGAAAGTGCAGGAAAAGCGCTCTTAGTGCTCTAGTTAGTAGATACAAGTAATAATTGGTTGTGGTTATTTG